GCACTTGCGTAGCCTTCATTGGGCAACACCCGGTGTGCTGCCCTTGGAGGAGGTGGGGGAGGGTTTGGAACGTTGTCATGAGGCGGGCGGTCTCTTCTTTGTACTTGAGGTTGAAGATGAACCTCATCCACTTCATTTTCATCTACCTCCTCCCATTGAGAAATATGTCTGAGGGCCTCGTTAAGAGCCATTTGGTACCTAAAAGCAATTGACACACAAAAATTAGAAAAACGGAAGGAAAGAAGAACAAAACACACAAATAGTTAGATATATAGCTAAGATTGTCTAACTCCCCGGCAACGGCGCCAAAAATTGATCGGGTCCAAGCCTGCGCTACTATTGAGTAGCGAGGATAGTCGATGCAATTTTACTCCACAGGGAGGTAATTGATTTGGAATTAGGTTTATGTCTAATTCTAGATGCGTGTTTTGTTCCTAATTACGCTTCCACACATTTTGGTTTTGATTCTACTTCTAATTCTATTCTATTGTATGCAATGATTAAAGCTAAGTACAATATCTTTTTGATAATGTTTTTCAAGTGTTTAAAAGGAGTAGGGTAGTGACTTCCGCCTAGGTGGATATCTAACGGGTAGCAAGAATCTAGGGCAAGCTTGATTAATTTGGGGTCGTAATATAGCTATCACACCCAAGTACTCACTTTATACCTCTCGATAGTTTGAGTGATTTTGCCTAATTTGGCTTTCTCAAGTCCAAATGGGTATTCATGCAAGTCACGTGATATTAGCTCAAGTCGGGTATTACTATCTCTAGGTTTAACATTTTAATTGGGGCTATCAATTTCTTGAGTTCACCCCAATTCCTTGTTAGCCTAGTTTTCCTAGACTTAGTCCCTCTTTCTCAAGAAGAGACGAAGTCATAAAGAGACATGAATCACTGTTTGCAACCACTAATTCTACAATTCTAGCAAGAACTAGGCTAAATATCACTAACCCATAAACATTCAAGCCCTAAAATTCAGTACCCATTAAATACTCACACTAGGATTGGGTCACAACCCTAGCTATGGGTCTAACTACTCATAGAAATAGTAGAAATCAAAGATGAAAAGAAGATAAAATTCATAATACTAGATTAAAAGATGAAAATCTAATGTTATAAGGTGAATCTAATATAAAATTACCCAAAAGGGAAGTTCCAGCCGTCTCACGTGCTCAGCAAAATACACCATACCTTAAAAATGACAAAAAGTTCTATTTATACTAAGCTGAAATTTCCGGACAAAAATACCCCTGCGGAGGTTACGCGGCCGCGTAATTCTGACCGCGGCCGCACTCTTGCTTTAGCGGCCGCGTAATTCTGATCGCGGTCCGCGTTCTTTACTTCTGAATATGGGTTGAGCATGGTTTCGCGGATCGCGTAATTTCCATCGCGGTCGCGTATGAGACTTCCGCGGCCGCATAATCTTGACGTGGACCGCACTTCTTATTTTTGCTTAAAATGTAAGCTCTCTCAACCTCAGCAACCGCGGTCCGCGTAATTCCAATTGCGGGCGCACCTTTCTGACGCGGTCCGCGTTCATGTTTTGGCCCAAAAATCCATCTCTCTGAATCTTCCTTTCGCGGACCTCGAAATAGTGCTCGCGACCGCGTTGTAGCTTTCGCGGCCGCACAATATTTGTGCGGTCCGCGTTTCACATCTTTTGGCCCAGTCTTGGTTTTTGTTCAAGTTTTGACTCCTTTATGAGTTGATTATGACTCTTTTGGCTCATTTTGAACAATCCCTGCAAGCAAGCATATTACATTAGTTTCCGGGAATACCTTCGCGCATTTTTGTCCCTAAACACAAGTAGAAGAGAGCAAATAATAGGTTAAAATCTCTACTTATCAGTTCTCTTGCTATTTCATTATGTGATCATAGGATACCAACCCTACAAGTTTGTTTTAATATCCACGATCAAAAGCCTCCATGCTAAAGTTCTTTCAGGGGAACATAGTGACCTAAAGATGTAAGTTCTGTTCCCTTTCCTTTATGAAATAACTTGATACTGCAACTAAGCCTGGTTGGTACACAAAGTGCTGACTAAGTAGAGCCATCAGCGTGCTGCAGCTAAAACCTGGTTGATTCATAAACTGCTGAATAAGTAGGGTCATCCACACAGTTCAGCAGTCAGTTGTGCAGCTTTCCAGGTTCTAAATCTGCGATCTTAACAAATTTCCCGTATCAGTAGTTAAAATCAAACAGTACCACAGATTGGAGTTCCCAATATCCGTCCCAATAGTTCAAGTTCCATAATTGGTGCATGATTGTTAAGTGACTGATCTCGATACTTGTTGACTCCTCATGGATGGTCTTAATAAGTGGTGTGATTTTAATCCAAAACAACTTAAGCTGCCAAAAGGCTTTAGGTATTCTTCTGGCATCTAAAATGACAATTACCCATCTAATTACATACTGCACACCGAAGGGACTATTCTTTGTGGTCATTAAATGTTATACCATACATTGTATTGCAGGTCGAGTTGTTCAAACATCCACATGTACTATTATTGCAAGTACGAAATTCCATGTTCAAGCTTCCAGGTGGTCGTGTTAGGCCTGGTGAATCAGGTAGTATGATATCTTTTTCTCATTTTGTCCAATTTGAAGCTGGGACTGAAGAGTTATCCTTGTTTGCTTATCACAGAAATTGAATGTCTAAGACGTAAGCTCTCAAGTAAGCTATCCATGAGCGAAGATGACAGCTGGGAGGTATGTCAACGTTTGACATAATGTTTATAAGTTTTTTGCTAAGCATCTTATATGTCTTTCATTTGATGTGTAGGTAGGTGAATGCCTTGGGATGTGGTGGAGACCTGACTTTGAAACATTGATTTACCCGTTTATGCCACCTGATACAAAAAGGTCTAAGGTACTTGTTCATTACATTCCGAAATTTATCTCATTTGCTGTCAGTTCTTGAAGCCATAGTCCTTCTCTTTCTAGGAGTGCACAACACTCCTTTTAGTAAGGTTGACTTTCTATCTTTATAGGAGTGCACAAAACTGTTTCTTGTGAGGTTGCCCGAAAGTCGCAAATTCATTGTACCGAAGAACCTTAAGCTTCTAGCTGTTCCACTCTGCCAAGTTCATGAAAATTTCAAGGTACTGTACCTCAGGCACATTCAAATTTAGTATGGTGATCCACAATGGACTCTTACTAACGAGTCAAGTGTTGTCTAATGCCTTTTGTACCTTAAATGACCATATTTTATGTTATACTTCAGAGGCTAATGCATTCAATGCCCTTTTCTGCAGACCTATGGACCAATAATTGCCGGAGTTCCACAACTGCTGTCAAAGTTCTCCTACAACATGATGGATTATGTCTGACTGGTGCCATAGTACAAGTTGAAGACAAACATGGTGTTCGATGCTATTCCCGTCCCAGCACGACTATTTTAAGTGCCAGATTAAAGTTTAGAAACCGATTACAATAGTCACTTTCACATGTATATATACTATGAGGAGTGTGTTTGTAAGCGAAGTCAAGACATTCAGGTTTTTCTTTGTTTCTTCATCTGCAGTGTATGTTTGTAGTGAGCAAAACTAATTGTCCACGAAATAGTTTAACTGATAATATCCGTGTGGTTTTGCATAGTTTGGTTGTGAAACAACAATCCTTTATAGGAAAATTTTCTATTAACGTTATATAGCTTGTTTTACAATATAAATTTGGGTTCAAACAATTTGATAGTTGATGAATTACATCTTAAGGCAAGTTCGAACATAAAGTCGAAACAACAAGAAAACATAACATGTAACGATCCGACCGGTCGTTTTGAGCTCTAGCTCGTCGTTCGGCGGTTTTAGGCCATGAGCAGCTTCATTTCAGGTATTATGACTTGTACGTGTGGTCGGAATTGAGTTTCGGGAAAGTTCGGAGTTAATTTGGAAAGAAAATTCTAATTTCGGAAGCTTTAAGTTGGAGGAATTGACTAAGGTGTGATTTTTGAGTAAATAACCTCGGAATCGGGATTTGAAAGTTCCAACAGGTTCGTATGATGATTTTGGACTTGGGCGTATGTTCGGATCGGATTTTGGATGACTCGGGAGCGTTCCAGCGCCTATTGTGGAAAGCTGGCATTTTTTTTTTTTGAAGAATTTCATAAATTTGGGTTGAAGTGCATTTCAATGTTATCGATGTCCGTTTGGGATTCCGAGTCTGGGAATAGCTCCGTAAGGTGATTTTGGTGTTGGGAGCGCGTCCGGATGTGGATTTGGAGGTCTGTAGGTCATTTTGGAGTCATTTGGCGAAACTTAGAAATTTGAAGGTTTTTGAGAAGTTTGACTGGGAGTGGACCTTTTGATATCGGGGTCGGATTCCGATTCTGGAAGTTGGAGTAGGTCTGCAATGTCAAATGCGACTTGTGTGCAAAATTTGAGGTCAATCGGACGTGATTTGATAGGTTTCTGCATCGAATGTAGAAGTTTGAAGTTCTAAAGTTCATTAAGCTTGAATTGGGGTGCGATTCATGATTTTGGTGATGTTTGATGTGATTTGAGGCCTCGAGCAGGTCCGTATTATGTTATGGGACTGGTTGGTGTGATTGGACTGGGTCCCGGGGACCTCGGGTGTGTTTCGGGGTGGTTTTGAGTTGTTTTGGAACTGCTGTTGCTGGTTTCTAGTTTCCTTCTTCGCGAACGCAAAGGGAGTCCCGCGTTCGCGAAGAGGAACTTTGAGGCTGGTGGGATTTGGCCTTTGCGAACGTGAGGCAGTGGACGCGAACGCGAGGCAGTAGCTGGGAAGGACTTTGCGAACGCGGCCAAGGCTATGCGAACGCGAAGAATAGAGAGGGAGCGGGGGCCTGAAGTAGTTTGTCCTTCGCGAACGAGGCCAAGGTGACGCGAACGCGATGAGTAGATTGGACGTATGCATTCTAGCCTTCGCGTTCGCGATGGTCGTGCCGCGAACGCGAAGAAGGGCGGACCTGGGTTGGGCAGAATGTTTTAAAGCGAGGTTTGGGTTCATTTCACCTATTTTTCCCACGGCCTGGGAGATGTTTGGAGCTTTTGAAGAGGGAATTTCATCATCAAGCACGAGGTAAGTGATTTCTACTAGTTGTGAGTTACATACAAGGTTTATACATGGATTTAGGCATGAAAATTTGTAGAAATTTTGGATTTTGAAGGAAAACCTAAAAATTTATATTTTTGAATTTTGAGCACGAATTTGGGCATGGAATTGAGAGTAAATTATATATTTGAGTTCGTGATGCCATGGGTAATGTTTATCTTTGAAAAATTTTGGAATCCGGGCACGTGGGCCCGAGGGTGATTTTATCGACTTTTCGAACGGAGTTGAAAATTGTTGTAAATATGATTATAATGAGTATTAGAGTATATATTTATGGATTTGCACATTTATTGACTAGTTTTGTGGGTGTTGGGCATCGGTTGAGTTGTTTGAAAAGCTTGTGAGCCGGTTATGGAATTTCAGAGCGAGGTAAGTATCCTTTCTAACCTTGTAAGAGGGAATTAACCCTATAGGTGAATCACATTATTATGTGCTTCTATTTGTGGGGGCTACGTACGCACGAGGTGACGAGAGTCCGCGCGTAACTACTATTATGCTTATGTCCGGGTAGTCTAGGACCCAAATTATGTTATAATTGCGATGTTTGCACCCTACTTGTTAATTTAACTGCTTAAAACATATTGAAACTTGATAAAGGAATTGTAAAAGGTTAAACTTCATTTTTTTTATCGTTAATGGGAATTGGTATTTTCTTGAATAATTGCCCCTTAATAAATCTTGAATTGGTTATTTTAAATGTATTTTCTTTTTTGTGGAGCGGGTCGAACACCTCGGTAGCAGATAGATGCATCTATGGTTTGTGTCGTTTGACCCTCGGTAGTGCACAGTTAATATTTATATGTTGGATCGGACCGTACGACCTTAGCATAACTTGCGCATGATAACTCTTTGGAACTAATAATAATTGATATTTGCTCTATTGGCTTGAGATGTGAATTGTTAAATGATGAAAAAGGAATTTGGGAATTTCTATTAGTATAAAAAATGATTGTTGATTATTTTCCGTTATTGAATTTTCAGCTATGTTATGTATCCATGCTTAAATATAATATCGGTATTTTTTTTATTTGTTAGCCCATAATAAGTATCGGAGTCGACCCCTCGTCACTATTTTTTCGAGGTTAGGTTGGATACTTACTGGGTACGCGTTGATTTACGTACTCATACTACACTTGCTGTACATTTTTGTGCAGATGCATATATATCTAGTGGCCTTGTGGGCGCAGAGACGCGGTTATTGCGGGGATTTAGGTGAACTGCATTCCACGTTACGAGTCCGCAGCACGCACAGAGTCTTCATCCAAGTTATCTACCCTCTCATGTCTAATTGTATCTCCAAACAGATGTTGTATTTTTAATATATTTCCTAGTCGATGCTCATGTACTTGTGACACCGGGTTTTGGGGGTGATTATGGGCTGTTCAGTATTGTAGTTGTGAAAATACTATCATTTACTTTGTAAAGTCTATCTCTTACTATTTAATTGAGGGAAATTATGATTTCAAAAATCCTGAAATGAGTAATTAAGTTAAGCAATTATTGTTGGCTGGCCTGACAGCGGTGTTAGGAGTCATCACGACCTCTAATGGAATTTGGGTCGTGATAATATGGTATCAGAGCACTAAGTTCACTTAGGTCTCACGAGTCATGAGCAAGTCTAGTAGAGTCTTGCGGATTGGTACGGAGACGTCTGTACTTATCTTCGAGAGGCTACAGGGCTGTTAGGAGCACTTTCCTTCTTAATTCCTCATCGTGCGATGGATTTCTTCGACGCTTACGCATTTGTTTCTCTCCCATTCAATCTTATGCAATGTGAAGCGCTTGTTATCAATTGGGAATCGAGGAATTGTAATGGTACTGCGGATGGGGTGCAAGATGTTTTCTCCCTGCGTATTTGATTGGGCTATTGTCGTCGCCTTGCGGAAGGATGTTCTGCCATTTTAGCTCAGCAGCCGTATTTTTTATGGTTTCGAGGTTATGCATGGGTTTCTATGAGGTTCATGAGTCTTCATCGCGAAATATTGATGTGATGGTAGGATGCTTGTCTATGTGCTGGGGGCAGTGAAGGATTTGAAGGGAGGTTTTCCCCGTGTATGATTCAGAGGTTCAGTGTTTTATTTCCAGCGGAGGAAAGGCAATCGGACTAAGAATGTTCAGGTTTGGGTTGATGGAATAACGAGACATGGTATTTTCGAGCATGGTGGAATTCTCATCTATGATGTATCATCGTTGTCCTTGTTGAATGCATTAAGGATCGTCGGTGTTATGGTCTATCGAATTGCCTTTGGGGCAGGGTATTGTGGAATGGTGCCTGAGAAACGGTTGTCAGAGATAGCGGAGTGTAGCAATTTTGGAATCGAATGGGTATTTCTAATGTTGATGGCTCGAGATGGATGATCTTCTAGGAGGCTTAGAGTTGGTGGTAATTTATTAGTTCAAAAGCTACATGGATGAATTCGGATATGAGGCAACAATTGGGCAACGAAGGATGAGAAAGGACATGTGGGAGGTGTTTTGCGATGGTTGAAATGCAAGAAGGTCAAGTATGAAAAGCAAAAGTCGAGAAGTTGCTTAAAGGAGAGGGTTTGACCAAAGTGTGAGAGTGGCAGAATATCATATGGGTTTTGTAGTAGGATAGCTACACGCCTTGAGGAAAGTTTAGAGTGATTTGGGACTTATGGTGGACATGACTAGGTCTACGGACTAATTTGGAATATTGGCTACTATACTGAGGAAGATTGTGATACGACAGGAAGGAGTTGCTTGATATGAAGAGAGATGCAACATGACTTCAGATCAGAGTGTATCGTCGCACATGTAGTTGATGTCAATGGGGAGTGAACGGACTTGCACAGCTGGTGGAGGGGCACGGGCTCAGAATAGTTTATTGGTTTTGTAATAATTGTACTCGCTACAGCGTTGTTGAAAGAGGTCGGCATGGAATTTCCACAGGTGGGATATCTTCTATGAGCAGGTTAGTGGTTGCGTAGTGTTGATGAAGCTTCTAGGAAAGAATTTTACTGGCTATCCGGTAAGAGGTCGAATATGTAAATGCATCTAGTGATTCAGAGTGTTCATCAAATGGTTAACATGAAGATTTCGAGGAATTTGGCGGGTCGATTGTGAGAGGTCATGTCAATGAAGAAGAAGGAATCTTGGTAGGTTCCAGGGTTATGAAATTATAGCTTCAAGCTAAGTGGGAGAGCCCCACCATCTACGATTGGGTTGCATTGTTGTCTACTTGTGAGATTTTTGGTTATCGGCATATTGGTGAGTTATTATGACTAAGGAAAGAAAACATCAGTGGTAATTTGAGCAAAGGATTTGAGGAATATGTGCTATATTTGGCCTTATCGATTCATGTTTAGGCTTTGGGAAGACTCAGAATTTATGCTTCGTGTAGATTTGATATACAAGGAAAGTGAGTCAGCCGGGTGCTTCTTTGAGAAGGTGTTCATGTGATAGCAGGGCCTTGGAGTTTGATCATATTTGGGGACAAGTCAGAGTGGGTGACCCTCAACAACGGTTCTAGTAGGTTCAAAAATTCAAAGTGCGGTGTCTAAGGATTTCGAGTCCGTAGTAGGGTTAAGTATCGAGCTTTTGTTGTGGACTA